AGAATACATGCACTGGTATCGGCGGTTTTTAGTTTACGTTTAGCATTGGGGCGAAAAGGGCAAAAGTTTGTGGAGACCAGTTAATTTTTTTTTTTGTGCCAAAATATTTCCGAATGAAAAATCTATAGGCCCATATAATTAAATATGTAAAAATTTAGGTTTGGAATCAAACATTTTTTACCAAAAAAAGTTGTCAGAATTTGAAAAAAAGGTTTTTCTTGAGCAACAAGGAAAAAATTAGAAGTTTTGGTGAAAACAAAAAAAAAAACAAAAATTCGAAAAACAAAAATAAAAAAAAAATCGAGAAGATGAAAAGTTTGTTACAAAAAGAACAAAATTAATCCCTATGAACTATTGGCTAACCGTGGGTAAAAATAATTATGTGTCATACGTGTGAGTATTCTTTTAACCGTTTTAACCGGTCCAGCAGTTTCGGAGGTAATAAAAATTATAAACAGTCAGACGGAAACGGAGGACCTATTTTTTCATACTCTAGGGGTCTTGAATCGTCGAAAAATATAAAAGTAGCAAGTCGCCCAATGGATTCGATTACAATACATCCTTAGCTTGAAAATATGGATCATATTATGCACATTTTAGGTAGGATTTATTCCGCAAAAGTTTTGAGATGACGTCATCAATTTTTTTGGAGGGAATAAACAGATAAATTTTGATTAACGATTTATTATGCTTTCGATGTCCTTAAAATGTTTCCAAGTATATATAATATCTCATTTGCTAAAATCAGTTTAATCTTAGCAGGTGACCCGCCCACACTCCCTCTCTTTTCTTAGAAAAAATCTGGAGGATCCGTGGAGTTCTTTACTTGGAAAGAATTTCACAGAATCTTAGGGGTTCTTAGCGTCTTTTTTTGAATATGTGATGTTTTGTTTTTAAAGGAGAAATCAAAATATTGTCAAAACCGAAAAATTGAAAAATCAAGAATTTTAAAAATCTAAAAACTACAAAAATCCTAAAATTAAATATCGAGTAGATGGAAATGCCGAAAAATGTAAGAAAAATTTGAAAAATCGAGTAAGTAAAAAATCAAGAAAACTGAAAGTCTAAAAATCCAATAATAATTTAAATACATAAATTCCAAAACTGAAACGTCGAAAAATTGAAAACTCGAATAATCGAAAAGACAAATAATCGAAAAACCGAAAAATTGAGGAACCGAAATCGAAACTTCAAAAGATTGATAAGTCGACAAGTGGAAAAATCAAAAAATTGAGACATCGAAATAGCTACAGAAAAAAGGGAAAATTCAAAATCGAAAAATTAAAAAATCGAAAAATCTAAAAATGAGAAGGCAAAAAATCGACAGACTTAGCAATCCAAACAACAAAAAAGTAAAAAATTTAAAATTTACAAATTCAAAAAATTGAAAATTTACAAATTCGATCAACGAACCGAAAAACAAAAAATTGAAAAATCGAAAAATGTAAGACTTAAAAAATCGCAAAATTTTGAAAAGCCGAATAAGTAAAAAATAAAAAAAAACAGGAAGTTGAAAAATCTAAAAATTTAAAAATCGAAAAACATTGAAAACTCCCAAAATTGAAAAATCATGGAACTTAAACATTGATAATTTGAAAATCGAAAAATTGAGAAGTCGAGAAATCGGAAAAACGAAAAATCAAAAAGTCGGAAAGTTAAATCGAGAAACTGAGACATCGAAAAATCCAAAAATTTAGAAACCCCAAAAATTGAAAAACTGAAAAATCGAAAAATTCAAATACATAAAATCCAAAGCTGAAACGTCGAAAAATTGGAAACTCGAATATAATCGAAAAAACCAATAATCGAAAAATTGAAAAATTGAAAAATCGAAATCGAAAAATTGAAAAAACCCGAAATCGAAACATTAAAAGATCGATAAGTAGATAAGTGGACAAATCGAAAAATTTAAAAATAAGAAGGCAAAAAATCGACAGACTGAGTAATCTAAATAACAAAAAAGTAAAAAATCTAAACTTAAATACTCAACTTTTTTACTCGAAAACGGTAAGAGATAGAAGGTTCGTGCAAGGGCAAAAAAAAAGAACCCGAAATACGAATCATACCCACAGGCGTCGACGGTTTTTAGTTAACTTTTGGCAGCCTCCAAACGGCAAAACTTAAGAAAACAACTTTTGCACCAAAATATTTCTGAATGAACAGTCTATAGGTCTATGTAGCAAAATAAGCATTTTCCTCTACCGTTTAACAGTGTTACGAAATAAACCCATACGCCGCCACGGTACTACGCCTATGGGTCTTTCAGTATGTGCGGCGATGATGGGTGACTCATCTAAACCCATACGCCGCCACGGTACTACGCCTATGAGTTTTTCGGTATGTGCGGCGATGATGGGTGACTCATCGTCAGTGGCCTGGAAGCCTGGAAGCGGAAGTCGTGATGGGTGTTCCAGAACAAGTAGAAGCGATGACGGAGCCTTTCGAAAAGGTGCGGGGCTGTTTAAATGGGAACTACCGTCGGGAGCAGTCAGCTCAGTCCAGACAATGGGAGAAATAGAGTCTAGTCAAGTCCATTCCAGTCGAGTCAGAGTTATTCTGTACATAATCGCTGTGTGATTAATTGTGTAAATTTGATTTACTAAAAAATAAATTGTTGAGTTTTACCCACGCCGATTTTTAAATGCCCGTTCAACGTAACAATAGTAATAACGTAAAAACGTCATAACTTGTAAACGGTAAGAGATAGCATGAGGAACGGGAAAAAGTTAAAAAATTAACACACATGCTGAATTAAGAAAATAAAAAAAAAAGTTGAAAAAAAGGGAGAAAATGGCAAAAGTCTTCTTTTAGAACGGACGCATAGGTATGTACAAAAAAATCGATTCTGTCCATATTCGCATCAGTCAGTCAAAATAACCGGCAAGATGAAGTTGGTTGTAGTCGACGTACAAGGTTTCCATTTGCCAGAATTTATTGTAAAAGAACTTACGACTTACGATGAAATTAACACAATACATGAAAGTTTCAAACCTATAAACAATTAAAAGAATTGACGAAAGCACCAGAAAACAAGTTAGATATCTACAACGTTATCATCATATGTTGAGATTTAATGATTGCGCCAAGGATCAGACATCTGTTAAACAAATCGAATACATCAAAAATAATGGGGTTGAGGTCGTATACGTGAAAGAAAGAAACAAAGAAAATTATCTCATGGAAACGCTAGAAAAAGATTGTTCCAAAATTGTGAATCTGGAAGCCATAGAAAACTATGTCAAACTAACCAAAGAAATACCACTATGTGATAACTATGTATCTAATAATAAAACATAGTCCTGTTCATTTAATAATGCTAAAAATAATTGCGTTTTATTTAAAAGCAAAAAAAACTGTCAGGTGTGGGATTCTAACCCACGCTCCTTTTGGAGAATCAGAGCTTAAATCCTTAAACGCCTCGGCCAACCTGACTACACTTAAATGTCAGCATAGAGAATATGTGCAAAACACGACCTAAGGGAACATTGAACACCCAGGTCAACAACAGACACGTGCCGACCAAACAAGTCAATGATCGTTGTGCACGACACTATCGGAACCCGACCGAACAAGGGGTCAGATCAACCGAGGAGAAGACGATGACAAACACTAGATAAAAAGTAGTGGGGCTCCTAGCTCATATTTCTTGAATAGGAGCCCCACTATATATCGACTCTTATGTCAACATTGTAGAAATCGTCGCCCTCAACACTGAATACAAACAAATGTCAGTCATATCATTATATCAACAAGCTGATATTCTTTATTTAGATTTTCGAAGGGCCTGTGATCAAATATATCATTTTGTGTTATTTCTTAAATTACGTTGTTATACTTTCCAGATTTTTTGTTGACTCATTTTAATTCATAGTTAAAAAATAAAGAATAGTCTGTTAAAATCGCAATTTTGTCTCAATCGTGAATCAACTAACATCTAGAATGCCTGAAGAATCCAATTTCGGTCCTTTGTTCTTTCTCCTTTTCCATAATGACATCGTAGATATTACACAATTAGAGAGCTTTAGACTCATTAGTACTGAGCTCTGTATTGTTAAGTAGAAGTAATAATTTATCCTCTATGCTATTTATGATATTAATATTTATTTTTTTTATTATGGCTTTATTTTGAAGTCATAGAAAAGCTAGCATGTAACACGTTTATAAACTTCTCTAGACGCGGTTTTTAAATACTCACTTCACTACGTCCTGTTCGTGCTTTAGTACACTTGTGTGTAAAAAAGGGGAGTTTAAAACTTGTTACATGCAATGTATCTACTATTTTCTGTTGTATTAATTTCATATAATTGAGTGTAAATGCCCGTTGGATCTAACAACATTAATTATTATTATTTTCATGTTTTTTATGAAATTATTTACGTACAATCTAAATGATGCATTTATACTCTATTCAAAAACAAGGTAACGATTTATTTTACCTCATGGTTATACAATTTCTATATAATTTTAGATATTCTCCGTAGATAACTTTTCTCCTTTGTACATTATTTTTCGTTTCAATAATTTCCACCATCAACGACGCTCTTGTATCTTTGACATCGGCATCCGGTTTAGTTTATGAGCTCGGAAAGCTGTCGTGCGTCCATATATTAGAAAGCTTAACGTCGGTATAACGTACTTCATTAAATAAATACCATTTGTTTATTTTACTTTTATTGTACATACGATTAATCATTTTCATTTCTTTTTTGTCAAAACTCAGTTAACCATTGTAACGATTAAGACCTAGAATTTAGGTACTTGTATTTAAACTCTTGGAAACAAATAGCCCCACTCGTTAAATAAGCTCTCAAACCGCCTCATAAGCAAACGAGTTCATTTACCGCATTCACCACATTCAATACTCGTAAAACCTGCACCAATATGAATCAAAAATCTAGAGCAGCTTTAAACCAACTCTTCCAGGAACTCCTTCGTTATTTAATGAGACAGCAAAAAATCACCGCTCAGCTTCCAATCAATAATTCCTCTTTTTTTTCCAGGACGAATATCAAACCGGCGACAGCCTCCAATTCCGGCTTCATTTTAAACTCTCTTGATGGAATTTTTCGCGGCCCGAGTCAATGAAAGCCGATTAATCTCAATTAAGGGAGAAAAAAGTGATGATGTGAAAGGGGTGTAACAGCCAACGATGGGCCTGACGCTGGTGAAGCTGTCTCTGAACCTGCTCCTGTGGGGACTGATCCAGGGTGAGTGGAATTGTTTTATAGCGAATTAAGGATTAAAAGGAAACAACCTTTACCGAAACTGTTATTTTATCTTGAAATTGGAAGTTTAAGGGAAGTTTTTATCGTACACTCGATTTTGATCAATTAATGGGTCAACGGCGCGAAAAGTCTTGTCTTCTCCGCCGCGGGATTTTCCTTCCTCGTTTTTCTCTCGGTTTCCCAAGCGAGGGCTGTTATTCAGATTTTGTATCGGTAGCACTTGTCTGTCAATTTTTATTTATTTTGATTTAATTTCATAGCGTTGAAACTTGGATAGTCGACAATTCTCAATTATACGTATATTTGTAAATTTTAATAATTACAGCACAAGATAATGGATGATGGTGAAAATATTTATCGTTTTGAAATTTTAACTTAATATTTTAATTCAGAAACTAACCACATGACAGACTTAAAAAGATAAATACTAATACCGTTTACGGGATAAAAACGCAGGTGGAAATTTGTTTATTAGTAATCATTAAGAGCTACGGAAATTTCTGGCGTCACATCTGTAAAACTTTAATACATTTTTATTGATAAAGTTCGTCCTTATTACTATTAATACAAAAGGATTTTTTTGCGAAAATGTAAATGTCCAGGGTAACAAAATCGAGGCGGACTCATAAACCACAAGTACAAGAGTATGTTATTTTATAAAATTAAGTTGGATTTACTATGAAAAAAAAAGTTTAAGTTGACTTCATCGAGGTGTTGATGGGGATGATTAGGCAAATTTTGGTGGTTCTCTGTCAAATAAGAATCGACGTAGACCTATTTTTTCATATTCTATGTGTTGAAAGGTCAAGAAAACATTAAAGTAGCTTACTTTTAACCCTGCTCCTGAATATGCCACTTACGAAAGTGTGCGAAACGTTGAGCCCAAAAACGCAATTAACACGGTTCCAACCCGGAAACCGATCATGTATTGATTCCGACCGTGCAAGCCTCCGAAATTATTCAAGTAGCCATTCAGCGAATGGACCCTATTGCATCCTTTGCTCAGGAAGTAAAAAAAAAGTAAATTACAAAAAAAAGAGAGGTATCTATATAAAGAAAAGTAGTTAAATTCACAACATTTTCACTGCTGGCTTTAGCACGTTTTTAGTAAAAAACAAGTGAAAATGACAATAGACAACATGTATACCTGAGGATTTTGTAATTTTTTCAAACGTAGCTTTCCTCTTATATAAAAAATAGTAAAAATGAGGTTATAATTTGTAATACATATTTCAAAAAGAGTGGTACACTTATCTGAGATTAATTTTTATTTTTTTGTCCAAATTTTCGTCAAATTTAATGTTTCCATATTTTTTGGTCATTTTTCACCAAATCTGTGTTTAGTTTTCAGTGAATTTTTCATGCCATGTCCAGTTAAATTATTGCCGTTTCCCAATAATTCTTCCCTAGTCCCTTTTCCCTCAGCCGAATCTCCACTGTTTCACTGACTTCCGTTAATCCCCACGAAACCGTTATTTTACCCCGAAATTCTAAGTTTAACGAAAGTTTTTATCGCACCCCCGATTTTGATCAATTAATAGAACAGCGGCGCGAAGAGTCTTGTCTTCTTTGTCGCAGGACTCCTGTTACTTAGATAATCTCGCATTTTCTCGGGCGAGAGGTTATTACTCAGATTTTTTCTCTCGTGTGTCCTGTTTCGTTTAAAACGCTTATTTTATTCATTTATTCCGAAACCATAAAAACGTGGAACGAGAAGCGTAAATTAACATCACTGATGACTATAAAAATAACGGTAATTGCGCCAGATTCGAGGTAAATGGCCAATGAAATATGTTGCTTTAAGGGTAAGGTAGGTCGTAAATTTAGATTTTTTGACAACGCGGGGAAATAATTTATTCAGGAATTAGGGGGTTTTAGGGAGTTCACTTAATGTAGCCAGACCGTGATTAGGGGAAGTAAAGTTGGTTGATTTCCTTCATCCGAAAATAAATAATTAAGAACGGTTATAAATTCCGGAATAATTTTTATAGACTGTGTTGTTCAGAATTATCGTGTTCAAAGGTATTGGTGGCTATTTTATATTTATGATAGCCCCACTGGAGTTCTAGGTCACGTCATTCATACATTCCGTTTGAATCAATCAATTGTGGAAATCGTAAGCAGGAAACTAACTTGGTATTTAAAATATTTAACGCAATGAAAATCAATTATTAAAATGAATCCAAACTGAATCCAATAAAGAGCTTTTGCCTTAAATATGAGCATGGCTTTGAAACTGTCTAAAGTGTAAAAATATTTTCGTTTGATAAAAAATGTTTAACAAAGTTAGGTTTAAAACTGAAGTCGTTCAGAATTTAAATCGTTCATCACAAACAAATTAATCATTTCTTAGACAAAACAACGTAAACAACGTGGATTCATTGAAGAGAAATCAATAATTTCAGGAATAAACATTTCGAAAATTTTGAATTGTCTGTCGGTTTGGTACTACAAACAGCGCCCGCTGTAGCAACCTTGAATTAATTCGAGTTCACTTTTACAAGCAATTTGATTTAATCTAAAGACGGAGATACAACTTAAATCCGAAAATTCCCTAAGAGCATTGTTCGCTAAACCGATTAAAACCTTAGTCTAATTTAATATCATGCCACATGTTAAGTCATTTGATCCGGCCAATTAGTTAGTCTTTGAGGATTAAATTGGTCAGGAAGTTAAGACAGTTATAACGAACCCTATTCTGCTGACGGATTACAAAAACTCAAGATGCTTTGTTCTAATTTGGTTTCTTGTGGAGCAATAATTAGAATTTCTTTGCAATAAGATAGAGTGGAAATACTTTGAGAAGGACACGTACTAGACGTAAAGAACTTGGTACTGGTCGCACCATCAGCGGTTGGTTATTCTCTTTTGTGTTCCTCTTTTCGTAGTTTCTTAGTATTTTTCGTACTTAATTCAAATGATTTAAATAAATTTTACCACACAAAACTTTGAGCTCACGTCAAGAAATTGTTGATGAGAACTTAGTGTTAATACGGATCTAGGGAAAGAGCGTATTTGATGAAAATTATACAAAGTTATTATTAGGAGTTGTTGCTTTCAACTTTAAATAATGAAATATTTGGGATTTCTCCGGTTGCTTAAACCTACCACAAAGCTGGGATTGCATCCGGAAAAATCGTAAACAATTTAAATTTTCTTCCTTACTTATTACAGAGCCGTCTTGCCCGACTTGGTTGTTTTAAATTATAGTAACGTCCGTTGCTCAGCTAACTTTCGCCCTAAAAACCCGATTTACGCACCATCTTGCCTAAAAATCCAGCGAGTTCTAAAGTCGTTAAACCCGAACACCTCGCTACTCTCTAATAACAATAATTTCGGATAAATTAGAGCCGCCCGAATATATACAAATGTGTTGTGTTTGCGCCTCTAGAAATTTCCAGCGCCTAAGTCATTCCAACTTAAGCCATTTCACGTAATTGCGCCCTCAACAGCACAAGTCTTGAAAAGCGTTCTTCCTAACAATTAACCGCTTCCCTTGCATTATACCTCTGTTTATTCGTCGGCAAATTTTACCTAATGTTTCTTTCTTAACGCCGTCCCATTACACGATGCTCGGTTTTAACGGTTCGAAACGTTCAAGTGAAATACGGAAGCGTCGCGACGCGCCTCGAAACAATAACAGACGAATAGAGAGATGTTTTGGCGGCTTTCATCTAGTTATAATGGACCGAAAAAGGGCGGCGCGCCGACGGAACATGTTTGCGGTAAGAACATGGTGCACTCATGAATAAAATTTGTTGCTGGCGTTTCCGACGAAACTTTCGGGGAGTTACATGGTGTTAAGCAAGACGAAGTGACATAACTTAAAAAACTTTCAGCTGGGTAGTAATACAGAAAAGCACTAAGCTTCTCTATTGCAATTTGTTGGTTCCGTATCGACGACTGTTTAAATTTAGAATGCAACTCGGAATACAGCTTTCGTGTTGCAAACTTTAATTGAATTAACGTGACCCAAGTAAGCTAAAATCCATTTCACTCCTATGACAAACCAACTAAGATGCGCGCATGCCTGTGACGTCAAGCAAAGTGGAATGACGGTTTCAAATAAAGAGAAAGGGCGGGATATGCTTCCAGATCCACGTGACGAAACCTTAGAAGACGTATACACAAAAAAATGTTAATTTACTTGCAGGTTCGAAGCTATTTCACCCTTTGAGCAAACATGTTCTCATATACAGGTCCCGCATATACCTGGGAGAAAGCTTTAGATGAGCACTACTATTTTATATATACATACCAGCGCCAGTTCTGAAATGACTCAGTCTGTAAAATTTGATTCATAATTCGTACAGGTTAAGCATAAGAACACAATAGGAAATTCACTCAAAAGTCATTTATATCCGAATTTCGCTAAAAATAAAAATAGTCCATTTTCCTTAAAATCCCGGCATTACGAATTGCAATTGTAGAAAATTTAAAAATTAGGAAGTCCTAAATAAAAACCCACAAAATAAAGAAAATGTTGTTGTTTTCATTGTGTTTTACCAAAAACTGTATAGTATCAGTAGTCCTGTATTTAAAACAAATTAAGGTTAAAAAGTAGGAAACATTTTGTGTATTTATATAAGGAATAATTGACTTTGCCACCAGCATATTGATCAGGTTGATGCAAATCGTAATCGTACCTAAAAAAAAATTTTTTTGATTCGATAATCTAATACTAATCTAGTACCAAAGCCGGATAGATATGTCCAAAGAATGCAATCTAAGTTTCATTTTATCGAATAGAACTTTAACCGCCTCATGTCGATTTTCTAAGACTTTTTCAGGATAACCAATATCGTGGGCTTTACCAACTTCATCTAGCTGATTTTTGCCTCTGTGTCCTCTTTTTAATCGTTTTTATGATTTTGTCCTGGTCCACAAAAGTTATAACCGAGAATATGAAGTTCAAAGTGTAATTTGAATTGAATTTACGATTCCATGTCCATAATATGCCTTTTTGTACGCTTCATTTTGAATGTTCCTTGTGGCTTCCTAATCAATATTTATGCTCGAACTTTCTGTTTTGTCTAAAAATTACATATCAGTTTAGATGTTAGTAATTAGTATCAGGAGTTTCTGATTTAAAATAATTTTCGTGTGCCCTTTACTCACTATTTCCGAGCAATGGCAGTGCTGTCTATTGGGTTTAAGGGAATACAATTTAAATGGATCATACAATTTATATTTAGATATAATTTTCTTTTATCTAGCGATTTGTATAGATCTTTATATTGGTGGATACCACATCGATATGCATCGTCAAATTATTTCCTTGTCCTCATACCTAACCTTCATTTTTACATTTTGCGTTTGAAATGTCTCCTATTTTTTTCCTCAATCTACTTTGTGCATTGTTATATCAGCTGGTTTTACTAAAGTTCTGCCATAATGCTTACGTCAGTCGTTTCACTTGTATTGCTGACGTACACGTCATGTCCCACTAGAGCAGAAATTTGAAAAATCACGTTGTATCATCATTTTGTAATTAGAAACATGATTTTAACTTGGACTGGCAAAGATGTTGCACAGACAAGCTTGTTTGATTTTTTATTACTAAGTCAATATTTTTTCCAGCTGTGGCAACCAACGGTGGTCAAAAATGGGTGCGTGCAAATGTTCCGCAGTACCGTGTTCCAGGAGAGACTGCCGTGTTACAGTGCGACTACGACTTAGGCAACGACACTTTGTATGCTGTGAAATGGTACAAAGACCATGAAGAGTTTTACAGATTTGTACCGAAAGCAAGACCCCAAGCGATTGCATATCAAGTGGAAGGAGCCAGAGTGGACGTAAGTTAAACACTCGCTCATAATTTGGTTGTTGATAATATGTTTTTAAACAATGCACCACTCGTTTGTTGTTAGTTTTCGCAATCAAAATGCAAACTTTGATTCGAAAGCTTGTTACGCAATAAAAACAAATACATTTATGAAATGAAACAGATTAAAGCTAAATTGATTCGGTTTCGAGTTAACAGTCTGTTAAATAAAGCTTTTTAGGCAGCTGATTTTCATTCTAAAGGTTGCTAGTCCTAAACGAATTACCATAACATTTGCTATGTTAATTGTCACCGAATAAACATAATGGATGCAATAAATATAAAACGAGTGCTTTGTAACGCTGTTGTGATTAGAGTCATTAATGTCGAACAACAATCGGGTAAATCGATAGCGACATCTGGGGCAAGAATGTTCTTTTATGTGAAAAATAAAACTTTAACAATTTGTTGATTTAACTTGGAATAAAAGCATTGTTAATGCCGCCGTCAATATTGGGTTTTTGTAGCGGCTAATAGCACCTTTCTGGGCTATTTTTTATTGATTGAGTCGTTTACACCAAACAATAACTTATGAACAAATGTCCCGAATTAAACTAAAACTCGTAATTCCCAACGGCTAGAAACGAAATTGTCCCTAAATAACTGAAATTCAATTAAAATTATTGTTCCTTTAAACCTTTAAAATATCGAGCGCTGAAGTTGATTCTCAATTAATATGTAAAATGACTGCAAACTTTTTTAAAATGGATTTGATATTGAAAAATGTGGAGCAGATACAGAGCTTAGGGCAACTGTCCACAGCGCAGTTTAAATATAAATTGAGTAGTATCACACTGAATAAACATTAACGGTCATTTATTGATTGTGTTGTGTAACAACACTACAATAACCAACGTCAGATAAAATATACTGAAACAGCTTCATAAATATTTTTGCAAAAGTGGAACTAATAACGCAGCTCTAACCAACATATTGTTCAATTACCTCTATCATTAATTGCTGTAAAACATGTTCAGTTATCCATTTCCTATCTATTGCGGTTAAAAAAGCTATGAAAATCGAATAATAATTTTCTCGTTCAATCTAATTGGTTTTTAAACACTGTTTTCTACATTAACGTGGTATTAATCGGAAATTAAAGTTTAATAATGTTTTTTTCCAAACTAACCTCTACTGATCCTCCCCTATGATTAATCGAACAACGTGAGACAATGATTGATTTCAGTTCCATTCGCAGTATAACCATAAACAAACTATTCACATGCCTTGTATGGTTAGTATAGTTTTTCAGAAAGTGGTGAATTTTCAGTTTTATTTTTAGATCAGTTTCAGTGTTGCTGAAATAAAAAAGACATCATTTGTGCTAACGACAAGTTGTTTATTTGCCACTCATGAATAAGTCAATACATTTAGTTTACATTTATTTACATACACTCAAAGCTGTTAATTGGCTGGGCTAGAATTTTTGAATTATTTATTCCAGCTTTGACGCGATCGTCTCATTTGAATTTGGTGTTTTGCATTGTGTTATTGCAGCAACAAAGGTTGCAAAATAACAAGCAAATATCGGTTTAATCAAACAGTGCAAAAGTATCGACCCAACAGCTTTTATATTTTGATTTGGTTTGATGGCAAATTTATCGAAAGATGACAAATATGTTCTGGAATTATAAAAAACAGTAATTAATAAACAGGGGTTAAAACATTCCATTTTGCACTATATTTCTCAGCATACTTTAAAACAAATTTTTATCTATATTCTATGATCGCTAAACCAAAATTTCAAAAAGTTTGTTATGTAGCTTTTAAAACTGTTAAATTATTATTCTAGAAACTCTTTTGTCATGATCTGTGTATACTGTACACGTTGTTACACTTCAGGTAAGACGATAGGTTCGATCCGAGATTTCGTCTTGTACCATTTTCAAATCGTCAATATCCGTAAGTTTGTCCAGTGCCTATTGGATTATACTACCTCCCATCTAAAATCTGCCCCATCTAGTGTATGGTTTAAAATATTATCTCAAAAAGTTGTCGTAATATCTGCATATAAAATTGGCACTCTACAAATAGAAGTACCAAATATTGAAACAGTATTTCCGAAAGTTGACAGTTCTTAAATTTCGATTATTTTGGGCAGTGTTTATCGTCCTGCTATTACATCATATTTAGATGACACACACTTAGTAAATAGAGTTTACTCCCTGAACAATGACATTTCGGAGATTTTAATTTTCCCAATATTCATGGGTCTCTAAGTAAACCATCGGACATGACAGACGGTGCCTCCTTATTTGTGGATTTTGTCATAAATTCGAATCTCACTCAACTTGTAACAACTTCCACAAGAATTCGCAGTGGCCACACGTCATTTCTTTTAGATTTAGTTTTGACTAACAACAACCAGTTAATTTCCAATCTCGCAATTTCTGCCCTAATTGGGAAGTCGGATCATGCCACAGTTGAATTTCAGGTACAGGGATTAGATCAGAATAAACCGACGGATATATTTAAATCGGTTAGCAACGTAAATTTTGTCAATTTGGAACGCAATTTAGCGACATTAGATTGGTCTGATGTTCAATAATCCGTGTATCGCTTGGTATATTCTACTCATTGTTAACTAATGCAGTTAAAAGTAATACATTTTATGGTCAGCCAAAAAATTAACACCCGAAAACCTTGGATAACTTCTAGATTAATCCAACGTACAAAACAGAAACAAAAAAAAAACAGAGTGCGTCGACCCAGGGACGCACGGATGGAGTTTTAACTCTGCTGTCAATTTCTATAAATTAAACACGTATACGAAGTCATTAATTTTTTCTTAAAAAATACAATGCTTTCATTAGTTCATTTGAACATAATACACTTGTGCTTCAAGTTGGTAGACAACTTAAAAATCAGCTGACCTTAATAACAGACAAGCATCCAAGTAGTAATCTCCAAATATCTTACGATAAATATGTAGATACATACTCTTCTCAGATATGCCATGAATATGAAAAGGCACGTGGCGGAAATTCTAGAAACTACATTATTGTCATTTCCAAGCCCACAATTCTGAAACTTTACCTTATGGCAATCTTAATGTTCCATATGAACAGTTTGCATATTACACAGAACAATTAGAAAATGCTTTCATTAGTTCATTTGAACATAATACACTTTTGCTTCAAGTTGGTAGATAACTTACAAATCAGCTGGAATTAATAACATACAAGCATCCATGTAGTAATCTCCCCCATGATTACCTTTTGTCATTATTTGTGCGATTAAGTATATTTTATACACTAATGCCATAACTACAGAAGCAAGCTAAAAAACAGAGGAACTTAATCATTTTGTCCCATTTATTATAGAGCATTTACCAGTTCCATCGGTTAATAATTAATTATAAAATAGAAAATCATCGGTTTATTTATCAGTGTTATTTTTATAGAACTATTCCTGTACTTACCAACAATATATTGTTTGTTAAAATGTACGTAAATGTAATACATACATACATACATACATACATACATACATATGCAATTAATATGACTGTTCTTTTATAATTTTGAAACCATCGCATCATATTTAATTGAGGTTATCTCAGAGTTCACATTTTTCGTTCGTTATGTCACTATTAGTAATATATTTTGTAACATTTAACATACACATTAGGACATTCAAGTTTACCACCACAAATGTTGTGCCCCCATGTCACATTCTGTGTCCACTTCACTACCCTGCATTTCTTATGGAGAATTCAAAAGCTATCGTCCCTCTATTACCTCTGGTCAAACGAACACATTTTATTAAATTGTTGTAACATAGACCGCAGCGCCCTCTCCATCAACCCACGCTACTCTCGCGCTTGTTGCTTGAGTCGCTAGTTACTACCGCTGCGAACAGGAGGCGCTGCCCGTCAACGCCTACCCACACTAATGACCTCGACACCGACACCAAGCTCGTAGCTGGAACTCGACATCCTATTCCGGCGCGTATACGTGTTCTACAACAAGAAAGGAGTTAAAACTACAAAAACTGTGGAAAAGTTTCAAAAGATCTGGGACGTCTCGGGATTTTGAATTACATAGAAAATTTTCAAATTAGTTATTATCTGATATTAAAACAGCAGAAACAAAGTATGAGAACAAATTTATAGAGTTAGGTCCAAAAACTGTTTACAGGTATGTCCGTTAAAAGATATCTTCTGCAGCATCAACCCCAGTAGTCAAAAAAGATGATGGTGTGCTTTGTGAAAACAACTTTGAAGCGGCGGAAATATTGGCAAAATTTTTCCATAGTGTATAGGTAAACGAATCTGATGATATCCTACCACCGGTTAAATTTTTGGAACAAATTAAATTCGTCGCAAGTGCTCTTCTAGAGGAGTTATTTTCCTGCAACACCAACAGCTCTCCTGTTTCAGACAATATTTCCACAGTATGCAAGCTTCTTTTAATAGTTCTCGATTGCCAAGTGATTACAGCTATACCAATATTTAAGAAGGGCCACAAAACCATTGCCTGCAACTACCGAGTGTTACAAAGTAGATGGAGAAGATAATTTGTAAGCAACTGCTTTCCTTTTCTCTTCAGGCAGGCATCAATGCGAATACCCAGCATGGGTTTTTACCAGATAGATCAACAATTCCATGTCTTTTATACTGTTTGAATATACGGTCGTCACATGTTGATGCTTCTGATCATGTAGATGTTGTATATCTGTATTTCGAGAAGGCATTTGATTGAATTCCTCATAGACGTCTTTTGGGAAAACTTGGTCACCGAGGTATACGTGGAAAATTACTGAATTGGATTGGCACTTTCTTGTCAAATAGAACTTTTTCTGTGAAAGTCGGGAACTGTTGGTCTAGAGAGCGTCCTGTTTTCCCTAGGAGTTTCACGAGAATCCGTTCTTGGACCTCTGTTATTCACTTTATATGTATCAGACCTCAGCTTCATAATCCAGTCCAATCATGTTTTCTATGCCGATGACTGCAAAATATTCGTTAGATCA